AAATTGTTCTGCTTGTAAAACATTTCCTTAATATCAAGGAAGCTTACACGTAAGCACCAATAATGAGTTAATCTTTGGGCCTGAAACTCTATGGAGTAATTGGCGAATCATTTCAAGAATAATCATATCCAGGGGAATGCCGCCAGAAGAGCTTCAGAATGAACAGGCATGAACAGGCATGAACAGGTTGTTGCCTTCATAGTTCATTTACCCTCATGGGAAAATTTGAAGACTCTGTTGTGCCAAACATAGTCAATCGGGGGAAATCACGTGGAGATTCGACAAATCTCTCTAAGAGTTTGAAGAAACAAGAGAATTTGGATGCCAAGTCTTTAGTAAAATCCTCTTGAGACGATTTCTTCTCATCAACCATGTAACTTGGGTATTTTAGAAGTGAATTTATTCGCAAGAATTGTCGTGCGTCATGCAGCTTATCAACAGTAACTTGGGGCATCCAAAATTAGTTCCAGGGGCAATCCAGATTTGTCAAGATATGTGATCTACTTTGCATACATTATTAGATGGTGGAGTTCCCCAGTATCTCCATCTAAGCAATATTTTTCTCCAGCTGAAGCAGAGTTCATGTTGGTATCCTTTCAATGGATTATTGTTGTTAGAAGATTGGGCTTTGGGTTCTCTCCCGAAAAATATCTTCCTCCCCGAAGAGATTAGAGCCTTATAGCATAAATATGCTCCGTCGGTGGCTTTTATTCTATCTCCAATAATGTTCTCATCTTGTTGAGGTTAGCCGAGTATCTGGTTGTACTGTGATGTCTTATCATCTCCAGTTTATCTCTTCTATCTGTTTTGTCAAACATATACATGATATTCATTTATTCATTCACACTTGCATCATGCACGCACATTCGTATTTGTTGATGTTATTAGGTTTGTATACCTTGTTTATGTCTACTCAAATAGCATATTTCTCTTTCCAAATAGAGTGTCAACTTAAGCCAAAAGTGCACCTCCTTTCTAATTCCCCATTGAGTTAACTCTCATGGAAGAATATTGCTTTAGATTTCCTTTTCCATCTCTGGATAGGATAAATCCCCAATTGAGTTGTTTCCTCATTGGGTGGAGTCTTGTTTGACTGTTTTCTCTCCAGTTTATTCCTAGATTGAGCTTTGTCTCTTGCGGATGCTACCCCGTGGATCTCTCTAGGCTATAAAACCTAGATGGAGAGTGCGTTTATTTTTCATATTTAAATACATGGTCTCCTCAGGAAGAATCTATTCATGGTTTCCCATTAAAGATGAACTTTGTTTCCCATTAGTGTTGTTGCAACACTCTTTTGGAATCTCAACATGACAACAAGTGGTGGCATCTTCATGAGCAGCTTGTTTATTATTGATATCTTTGGAAAGTAGCAAGTGGCAGACTCTTCATGAGAAGCTTGTGTATTATTGATATCATTAGAAAGCAGCAAGTGGCGGACTCTTCATGAGCAGCTTGTGTATTATTGATATCTTTGGAAGATAGCAAGTGGCGTACTCTTCATGAGTAGCTTGTATATTATAGATGTCTTTGGAAGACAGCAAGCGGCAGTCTATTCATGGGCAACTTGTGTGTTATAGATATCTTTGGAAGGCAGCAAGTGGCAGTCTCTTCATGAGCAGCTTGTGTGTTATTGGTATCTTTGAAAGTAGCAAGTGGTGGAATCTTCATGAGCAGCTTGTGTTTATTAATATCCTTTGAAGATAGCAAGTTGAGGTCTCTTCATGAGCAACTTTTGTGTTATAGATATCTTTGGAAGACAGCAAGTGGCGGTCTCTTCATGAGCATCTTGTGTGTTATAGATATCTTTGGAAGACAGCAAGCGGCGGTCTCTTCATGAGCATCTTGTGTGTTATAGATATCTTTGGAAGACAGTAAGCGACGGTCTCTTCATGAGCATCTTGTGTGTTATTGGTATCTTTGAAAGTAGCAAGTGGTGAACTCTTCATGAGCACCTTGTGTTTATTAATATCTATTGAAGATAGCAAGTGGTGACCTCTTTATCTGAGCAGCTTGTGTGTTATTGATATCTTTGGAAGACAACAAGTGGCGGTCTTTTCATGAGCAGCTTGTGTGTTTGTTAATATCCTTTGAAGACAGCAAGTGACAGCTTCTTTATTTGAGCAGCTTGTGTATCCACAACGATGTGTTATTTCAGCAGTAAATGGTATCTCTCCAGAAAAGTCCCGCAGAGAAGTTTGTTATGAAATCTCTACCTTCAGTAAAAATCTGTAGTTCACTATCAGTAAAAGTTGGTGTATCTTTTTCTCTACCTTTGACCATGAGTTGTAAACTCACCATTATCTTGAGTCGGTAGCCATGTATCTTTTTGTAGCCTATGCAAGGCGTTTTCTTTGTTAGAGTCAAAAAGTTGTTTTCTCTCGAAGTTATTCCCTAATAAGAGTCTCATTCGAAGTCTATGGCTTTGTTTCTCCAATGGAATTATAATCTCTTCCCCTGTGGGATTATTTTATCATGTACTTGGTTTCTCCAACAGTAGTTTTCCTCATGCGGAATCATTCCCCATAAGATTCAAGTATTACATTCATATCATATCATAAACACGGTGGTGGTATCTTAGGGCCAAAAATTGAGTATTATGTATTTAAGTCCCTTCAATCTCGTCGAGATGAAGATTCTAATCTTCATATCTCCAGATAGAAGAAACTTAAATAGGGGCAGCTAGCATACCCTAATTTTTGACCTAAGATCCCATTTTCATTTTTTGCATTTTATACAAAAGTCAAGGTCACAAAATACGGTTGGTTTTAACCTCTCACCTTCGAGCATTGACTATGCATAGACTGTCAAGTGTTTTAAACATTTTTAGCCTATGTATCACTAAATTCTAATCACATATAAAGGTGTATGTTCGTTTTTTCTTTTGTTTCATGTGAAGAGACAGGTCTGAGTCAAGAGCACCAGGCGTCGCGCTTCAATTAGGGTTTTGAGTCTCCCAAGCCAGAAGTACGATTGATTGTGGATTCTGTAAGATTGATTCATCAAGGCACAACCTCTAATCTTAGAGCATAGAGTCTCAAGCATTGTTCAATCTCATTTTGATCAAAGAAGTCTTTTGGAACTTCAGAGGATCGTGTGTTTATTTCCACGCCTTGTTCGATATGTGATCTCAAGCTTCTCCACAACTTCCTCAGAGCACAAACAAGATTTCATTATCACTGGTTCACATGTGCTTCAATGCGTCTTGGAATGCAGGGAAATATCAGACTATGTGAGACGATTTAAATCACTTCGACCAAAAGTCAACTTTTTGCAAGATCAAGTTCAAACGATCATAACTTCTTCAATTCTTAACGTCCCAAGACGGTTCTTTTTGTGAAGTATCACAAATAGTGTTGTCTATGAGATTACTTCAAAGATCAAGGTTAAATTGTGCTTGGTTCAATTTATGCCACATACGTTTTCTCAAAGGACATTTGATTCTTATGTTGGGATAATTCATGAAACTAGAGTTCTAGTTCAATGAATCATTGGTTGCTTGTTTCCTGCTTCAAGTCATTTGCAATTGAACATTAGTGATCATTGGATTAAGGTGGATTGCTTATTAAATATTTTAAAGGCGCGATTTGTATTATTGGCTCGTATTGCAAGTTACCAAGAATTAATGATATGGGTTTTAAAGAAGAAGAATATTTGAGGAACAATTCGAATAATTATTTTTGATTTCAAATCAATTAAAATGTGCGAGGCGCAATTCATTCATATGAATTTGTTTTGGATTCAAGATATACAAAAGAACTAATTTTTCATGATGCAAATTTGTTCAATGTTGAAGATCAATTCATGAAATTTTTTTGGAATTCTAGGAGCAAATACAAGATGTTCATTCATCATTCAAAATTCATTCAAGAAGTGTCAAATTCATTCAAGGGTGAAATTCTAATTCAATTTTCAAGTTTGATTCAATTTCGTCCAAGTTACAAAGAAGCATTATTCAAGACCTTTCTAAAAATTCAACTTCATTCATCATTCATGTGTTTCAAATTCAAAGATAACTTTCGATACAAATTTTAGTTGGAATCAATTCTAAATATTAGGAGTTTTCTCTTGATATTTCAAGATTGATCTTTAAAGGATTATAAAACTACAAGAACCATCCAAATTACAATCAATAAAGTTTCAAGTTACAATCACAAAAGAAATTCTTCAAATTTCTATGCCTAAAACACTTCATCTTCAAGGTCTCTCAAATTCTCCATGCCTTCATTATCAAAGCTCCATCTTCCAATCTTCATAATTTATTCATCAACTAGTGAAAAGGAAAACAAGTGTGTGATTATCAATTTTTTCAGCAATGCAAAACAATTTTAAGAGCCCACAAAAACATGCCAAAATGATACAAACCAGTCCAATTTTGTGGTACTTTTTTCTGTCCAAAACAGCATCCAAAACAGTCCAGATCTTGCCAAAAATCTGCTGTAAAATCTACACCAAAATTGTCCAAGATTTGCACTCAAAAAATATATTATGCCACTACTGCCATGTACTAAAACCTTGCCATCAGCCTGTTATATGAGTCCAAAAATGCAGATAATACACTAAATCAGCAAAACACAAAATTAAAGGAAAAAGCTATGAAAACAGTTAGCTAATTTGGTTCAAAGGCACCAACTCCCCCCCCCCCCCCCCCAAATTTGATCATTTTTTCCTATAAAAAGAAGATATCATTCAACAAAAAACACACACAAGAAAAAACTCAGGAGAGGGAAAACACAAGAAAAAACTGGAAAAAAGAAGAAGAAAAACTCAGCAAGAGAAAAACAACAAAGAGCTTTTTTTCAAGCATCACAACAAGAACTAGAGTTACAGAAGTTTATGCATCAACAAGAGAGGGAGGGAGAACTTACAGTTTTTGAAGCTCCATCGGAGAGACTCCGATAGGTATTTCTTCTTCTTTATTTACTTCTGCATAACTTTGTCATATATCCATCAATTTGAATATTCTTTTACATCACTTTTATGCCATACCAATGTTTGATTTATCATACTTTTTGTTGTATTTTGAGTTGCTGCAATATGTGGACATTTAAAAATGTTCAGAATTTATAATAACAGTAATAACATAAATTCATAAAGACAAAAAATATACCTTTAAATTTCTCTGCTCAAATGCTCCTTCAATGCCTACTCCCATCTCTACAACCCAACTGATTTCAAATGACGGGCTACCTGTTTCTTTGCCTTCTGTTCTTGGTCTCCATACTGCAATAATCTTTCCTGGAACAAGGCTACCCCTTGCTACAAACGACGGGGAAACTCGAGCTGCACTAGCTACTATAAACCTGTAGCACAACTTGGCAAAAATATAATATTAAGTATTGCCAGAGCATTATGAGGTAGAGCTGGAAATAAATGATTTCCCTCATAATGCTCGCTGGAAAGTCACACACAAGGAAACTTTAGGCCACATTTCGGAGTGGATGGAGCTGCCATTACCACCAGGAAAAGTCGCAGGACCTAGGGATCGCCAACTTTATTTGTTCATTGAGGGTCCTAGTGAGAAGTCAGTTAAGAGAGCCAAAGTAAAATTGAAGCGTGTTTTGGAAGACATCACTAATCAGACTTTATAACTACCTAGTGGAACTCAACTAGGAAAATACTTTGTTGTATAGAGGCTAGGTCTTTCAAGCCCATTCTCCTATATTCAAGAATTATTCCATCCTCGTGCTTGATTCGTGGATGTCTACGGTACTTTCCCTTTATGAATTTCCATCTCTCGACAACCTTAAATTCCTCAACATCTCAAACAACAACTTCAAATCTTCATCTCCATTATTAAGACTAATCAAAAGATTCGAAACATCATCGTTCATTCACACATGTAACAATTTCGATTCCAACAGAACCAACAACATCCAACCACCGATCCGTTTTAGAACGGAGAAGAATAAGAGAAATATGTTATTGAAAATGCCCATTTTGTTGTGGAGTTGTTGTTATGTTTGTACAGTAGATATTAGAAGAGAGTGAGTGGTTGTTGATATGAAACAAGGATGGAAAGGTGAATAAGCTTAGAGTGTTGTTCAAAGAGATTTAAAGTTGTTTTTTACGATAAGCATAGTTTATTGGAACTAATAATGATAAATCTGAATTTGTCTTCCCCATGCCACAGCAGCTGCGACGCGTCTTCATATCACTCTAGGGTTACAAAACTTTCTCCATTCTTCTCTAAAGCCAGGTCAGCCCATTGGGGTTGTTGGCCCAATTTTCTCAACCGTTTTCACCCTTTTGTCTTAATTAAAGTATAGTAATAACTAATAAACAATATAGTTCAGTTGGCAAGGCACGTTTGCAGTAACCTAGAGGACTCGGGTTCAACTCTCAGCTAGGCCATTTTTCTATTTTTTTTTCTTGATTCCTTTATGCCTTTTCCCAATTTTATTAAATATATGATAATAGTATTAATTTAGTTCATTCACATAGTTATTTCATTATAAAATACAAAAAAAAAACATGCTTGTTACAAATTAATCTTTTATTTAATTTTTGTCAACATGCTATTAATCTTTTATTTAATTTTTCGTTATTTATCTAATTGTTTAAAATACATGCTATTATAATTTAGTCTTTATTTAATTTTGGTTATTTATTTAGTATTTTAAAAATACATGCTTATAAATTAATCTCTTGTTGAATTATGTTATTATTCAATTATCGCTCTAATTAACTTTATTATAAATCGTTTAATCTTTGTATCTTTCGTCCGTCTACAATCCAAAGGAGATGTTTTAACTTTGTTGACTTCATGTCATCAAATATATTTGTTACGATTGAGCGAACCCCTTCATTCATTTTTTTTGTTTTTACTATTTTGTTAAACTTAAGTTAATTTTCCTAAAAGAATCAATTTTTAAAACTCACACCTTTTAAGTCAAAACTTTGACACTAGGTCGTCGTATCTTCAAAATCTCGTCCACACCCATTTTTAGATAAACAAACCATTTAAACCAAACTAACAATTTTAAACAAAAAGCAAATATTTCAAAAGGTTCCTGCAGAGTACCGCGGATGTATTGGGTACTAATACCTTCCCATTGTATAATGAACCCCCGAACATTAGATCTCTTTCAAAAAACGCTTTGTATTTTCATTACTTTTAAGTATTATTTTACGTTGCATATTTAAGGGTTTTATTTTACTCTTTTCCCTTTTCCCTTGGAAATAATAAAGCACGGCGGTGACTCTTGCTTTTGTGAGTCAAGTTAATTAATAGCTTGATCTCTGATTTTCACCGTTATAGAATTGGCGACTCTACTGGGCAAAGATTGACCTCTTGCTGGTCCATCCCTAAGTGGGTTAACCCTAATTTGTCATATCTGTTTTTTGTTATTATTACTTGTTTGTTTGATTATATGTGATATATTATGGTTATTTGGGTGTTGATTACCAAGGATAAGTCCTATACCCGGACTAAGTTGCACTTAAGATTAGGACGGGAGATATAGTCATGTTAACTTTGAGGGAGTAATCCCGAAGAAGGAGGCATGAAATCCCCCCACTCAGTGGAAGCCCATTTGACTGTAGTATTCAGTTTACCGAGTAATCGGGAAGATGTTACTACTTTCGACCTGGGATCCAGAGAATTTGAGAACCGTAGAACCTTTAACCCATCTTGGCCTCTTAATATAAGTGTGTAGACTATAATTGAGTAATCCGGAAGTAGTTGTCACACGATGTTACACTTTGACAAGTTTCTCTTGAGAATATTGCTCATTACCGAGTAATCGGGATGTTGGTATTATCCGAAGGAGGAACGTAGACTATGGGAACTTTTAGAACATTGTTTTATAGGTGTGATTAAACCTTTAGTACATACCTTGAGGGTGGTCTTTACCTTTGACTCCACGCTCGTGGCGTTGAACCTCTCAACTTTGTTTGTGACCTTGCTTGTGGTTGTTGCATAGCCATGCCTTCATGCATCCATATAACCCTTTTCACTTTATTTTCAAGGAATTTGGAAGTCTTTCTTTTTAAACATAACAAGTTTCGTCAAGCTCAATGGATCTTGGGTGTTGATGGGGTGAAAACCCTAATCCACCAAAATGGATGGTTGATCTTGATGATAACTTGACCAATGTTTTGATCTGATTTAAAATTCATCTTATATCTTCATACTTTGATGTTTACAACTCAATATCTTGAAATCAAATAAAAACTCTCTTTTACATTTACATATCATGCATCATCTACATTTTTTTGTTTCACTTTCAAAGGTCTTTTTACAAGTCTTATTTCTCCCCTGGTCTCAGTAGTACAACACTCGCGCTAAGAGAACAATGGAGAATATCAAGAAAGAGGTTTCTGAACTCTGCAGAGAGATGACTAATTTGAAAACAAGTATGGAGCACTTAACTGGTTTGGTTGAAATTTTGGTTTCTGCCCAAGTCAATCCCTCTAGGAAGGAAGAAGAGATGGCAATGGTCTTTACTGAAACTCTGAAATCATTCTTTCATTAGAAGATGGTAATTCATACACCTAGTGACTTTCTTGACAAGGTGAATATGGGAGTGCATCTAGAAGAAGATATTCGAAAGGGATGTTTATATGAAGATGGTGGCTTAGCTAGTGGTGTGAAGAAGTTTGATAATAACTTTTTTGAGAAGAGAGTCATAGGAAGAAATAATCATCGCCTATAATCATCATGTTTCTTTTGTCATCCTTGTGTTCAATTTACCTTCTGCAGCTCCAGTTCATCAACAAAATCCAATTCCAATGACCTATACGGAGTTGTTTCCTGTCCTGATGCAGAGGAATTTGTTTCAGACTCGACTTCCACTGAAGATTCCTGAGAAGATGTTGTGGTACTACAAATCTGATTTGACTTGTGTCTTTCATTAAGGAGCCCCTGGGCATAGTATAAAACATTGTTATGCATTGAAAGCTGAAGTCCAGAAGTTGGTCAGAAGTGGTATCTTGTCATTCAAGGACGTTGGCCTTGAAGTTCAAATCAAGCATTTGCCGAAGAGTTAACATGATTGATGGTTACTCTGAATTTTGAAGGATGTTTTCAGCAGATCAAGTCTAGATGGAGAGAGTCTTCTCAGTTTATTATCATTTTTACTGCTTTCCCTTCTAATCTTTCATGCTTGTTAAAGCTATGTTTGCATGTAAGAACTTGTTTAGATTTGAATGATTATCTTAATATAACGAGTATGTTTGTCTTGAAGAAATTCATTCATTTCCCTCATATTTGTTTTCAATTTTAAATTGCTTTTTGCATTATGATACCAAATTTTTTGACCAAACTCTTGCTTAGGCAGAGATTGGAGGGAGGATGATGATCTTAAAAACGCAAAAATCTCTGGTTGTATGCTTTTAGATAAAATCTTGTTGAGGATGTACAGGCATTATTTAAAATCCCTAAACACCAGAGATATGAGGAAGATAATCCCTTGTTAACCCTTTTTGAGCCTTGAAGTAGGAGTTTCTTTTCTATACGAAAAAACCATCAATTTTAACCCGGGGCAGGGTAGTTTTCAGTTAATCCGATCGAGTGTTCAAAATTCACAAGGAAGATATTTCTGAAGAGAAACCGCGATGGCTATCCTTCATATATCATGAGGCCAAAAGATGCGAAACCATAGTGGTTATCCCTCATCCATAATGCAAAACCATAATGGTTATAGGTAGTCACAATCAAGAAACGAGGCAGTCACAATCAAGAAACGTGTGCAATATTGAAGAATTAACTAAATGGCCTATTTGTCTAAGTGTTGAATTGCAGCTTTGAGGTCCACGGATCAACTCTTAGACTTGCCATTTTTTTTAATTTTTTGGTAGAAGTGAGAATATTAAGAATTATATTATTTATATTAAACTCAAAAGCGATTACCATTCTAATCTTATATTTTTAGTAGAAATGCATTAAAAACTATATATATTATTTATATGGTTCAAGTATTAATAAAAAAAAACTATATATATTATTTCATCAAAAATAAAACTATTTATTTTGATTTTAAATTATTGTTGCGATTGTGAGTATTCTGATTTTGGTCATTGAGGTTAATATATTGCACATTATGATCTTTGTGACGTAAATTTTAATTGAGAAGTGTTTGAAATATATTGTTCAAAAATAGGTTTTTTATTTCTACACTTAGTGCACTTCTCTAGGACCTCTGGCAAAATTTCTATAATATCCCAAGAATTCAGAAGTGCATCTTTGAACGGATCACTAACGTGAATTATTAAATTTACTTCAGATATGCATATTTGAAGTCACCTGTTAGACATTTTCGAATATGCATATCCGAATTTATCCCTGGTCAAAACATTATTTAACATAATTCATAACATTCATTCAAAATAATTCAAAGAAGTTACATAAATAGCTATGCAGAAAATAAAGGTTACATATTATTATAAACGAGTAGTTGAGGATGTCGCAACATCTTGATAACATCTTCTTATGATCTTTGAAGCTTCACATCCATCTCAATCGGACCCTTAGAAGAGTATTATTGAAAGGTACCCCACATAACCTTTAAATCATCATCGTTCTTGTGCTCAAACGGGGTGAAATTTATGTTTCCTTCAGTATCAATCAAAGGTCAACAATACTCAAGCTTGGACACCTTTCGATTCTCTGGATATTGCAAGAGAGAATGAAGTATGGTAATGAGCTCGGAGAATGGCGTGTCCTGTAAGAACCTGAATTGAAGTGGCGATTGTGCACCACTAAAGTAGACAAAATCTAGGTGTGGATATGTTTGTGTTATTTCTGATGACCATGCAACATTTTAATATGGAAAGGGTGGTTTTAGAGATGCACATCTGAAGTCACCTATTAGCATTTTTCACATGTACATAT